ACCTCCCTGGAGGGTCACCTTGGCTCCGTGGCCATCTTCTGCGAGGCTCTGCAGCAAACCCAGGTCAAGGCGCTCTTCTGCGCGGGTACGTCAGGGTGGGACACGGGAGACGTCTGCAGGGGTGCTGGTGGCAACCGGGGTCTCCTCCACCGTGTCCCAGCTTACCCCAATCCTCTTCCCCTAGGGCCAAACGTCACATCACCGTTTACACTGGAAGGTGACTTGGTGGAGCTCAGCAGCAAGCTCTTGCTGTACTACACCCCACAGGTGAGGAGAGCCACCCCTCTGGGGGTGGGGACAGCACTGGTAGACCCTCTCCCATAGGTGACATCTCCAGGAGCATGAAGGTGCTCCCATGGTGCTCTCTTCTAGGCCTGCAGGAACAACATCTGCCTGGACCTCTCTCCCAGCCACGGCTTGGACGGGAGGCTAACGGGGCACAAGGTGGTCAACTGGGACATCAAGGTACGCTGGGCGCAGGGTGGTCCGTCCTGGCCCATCCGCCCCATGGCGTGGAGGCAGCTGGGCCCCTCCTGGGGCATGGGGCAGGGGCAGGACCCTCAAGGGGTGTTGGATGGCCGTGGTGGTTCCCCTGGACCCTAGAGGGACTCTGCTACATAGTATTGAGCCCCCCAAGGACCTGCCTGACCCATGGGTCCCCTAAGGGACCTGTCTGCCCCATAGGTCCTCAGCCCCCACGGTGGGCGCTATGGGTGGTGCAGGGGAACAGGTGCTTTCTGGGGACGTGTTTTAGGTTTGTGCTGTAGGATGGGTCAGGGCACACCCCGATCTTCGCTAGCCACAGGGCCTGGCTCTCCCCGGCTTGGGCTGAGCCCGTGAGCAGGCAGGACAGACCCCGGGTGCACGTGCAACCTCCTCCTCTACGCTGCTGTCACCACGCAGCACCCAGCAAAGCCTCTCGCCTCCCTCCGGCAGGACGTGGTCAACTGCGTGGGTGGGATGGGTGTGCTGCTGCCCCTGCTCGAGCAAGTGGTGTCCAAGAAGGAGGAGCCCGAGGATGAGCAGGAGACCAATGACCTGGTGGGGCCAGAGCTGACGTCCTCCAGGAACGCCCAGGGCATGCTCATCCCACTGGGCAAGTCCTCAGGTGAGGACCTCGGGGGACGTGGAGTGGGAGCCGTCCTGCTCGGGTGGCTGTAGGTAGCCCCGCTGCCACGTGGGTGCTGCCTGGAGCGGGCTGCTGTCTGCCGTGGGCATGAGAGGTCTTGCCTGGGGCACCAGGAGTTATGGGGTAATGGAGAAACCATTGACATCTTTTAATGTTGTTATGACCTAATTAGTCGTAAACAAGGAATTCTGGGAAGACGAGGGTGGCTCCAGCCTGCTTACCTCTGGCTTGCCTTTGTGTGGAGTCTCTGGTGTCTTACAGTAGGGCTGGGTTCATGCAGGAGCCTTCTCCTGCACAGGTGAAATGGGCTTTCTCCCAATACCCAGCTGCTTATTTCCAAGAAGCTCAGAGCAACGGAGGTTTCCACTTGCTTAAATTGGGGCGAAATAGGGGAACAGGCTGAAAAGTTTGTAGCGAAGAGTTTACGGTGGGGTCTCCAGGATGCCCTTTGAAGGTGCTCGCAGCTACCGGCAGGCTCTGCCCCATGCCTTGCAGAGAGCAGGCTGGAGAGGAACAGCGTGGCCGCCTTCCTGCTGCTGGTGAAGAACTTCATCCAGAACCACCCGGTGAACCAGGAGAGCCTGGTGCAGTGCCACGGGCCGGCCATCATCGGGGCGCTGCTGCAGAAGGTGTGGGGGGCTACCAAAGGCTCCATCCCACAGTCCCCGGGGCCGTTCCCCAAGGACGACACCGGGGCTGCAAGCCTCCCCTCTCGCCCACGGCAGGTCTCCGGTCCGCTGCTGGACATGAGCACATTGATGGCCTCGCAGATCCTCATGGAGCAGGTGGCATCTGAGGGCAGCGGGCTCCTGCTGCACCTCCTCTACCAGCATCTCCTCTTCGACTTCCGCATCTGGAGCAACAGCGACTTCGCCGTCCGCTTAGGTGGGAAACTGGGGGCTCTCGGGGGTGTTCTTCATCCCAACCGGCCTCCACCGGCTACTCGCACCTTCTCCCTGCAGGTCATATCCAGTATCTGGCCAACGTTGTCAAGGACCACAAGCAGCGCATCTGCAAGAAGTATGGGGTGCAGTACATCCTCGACTCCATCCGGACGTACTACGGGTGAGCTGCCACTTGTAGCCGGGACCCCCCCCCCCCGGGGTGGGTGGGGGGGGGGGCTCCCCCCCCGTG